GAAATAAACTCATAATCCCGATATCCCATACATATAGTATGTGCAAAAGAGAATAAACTCCGTGGAAGGTGATAAAAAATTAATTTATGGCTTAATTGAAACAAACACAGAAATTAAGCTAAGTAAACCCGTGTAAAAACAAATTGAAATGATAAAACGAAACTTAATTTTCATGTGAATTTTCAGTGCTGATTCTCCCATTATAGAAATTTCAATTTGTTTCAGACAAAGACCACATTTAGCTTTATAAGGATTGTCATCCATCAATATCCAGTCTTTGTAGTCAGCTTGATGAAGCCACAGTTTATTGAAAATGCACTTTCCAGGCATCTCGTTCTGGGATTGCTCTAATTTTGGCAAATATTTTCAGAATCCCCCCCCCTTTTTTCCTCGAGCACCTTCATCATCACTTTCGCCTCTTAAAGAACTTCCGGCTTCACGCTTTCATCACAATCTTCCTAAATTTATGGATAATACTTGTTTCGAAAGATTGGGTGAATAGCCAATCAGACACCGATACTTTTGTTCGGGTAGCTAATTTTTTTTTTTATCGTTTGCAACGCAAATCCGCCAACAGTTTGGTTAAGAGCCGTGCAATTTTAATTCCATATTCACGAGAAATGGCAATTCACACATAGAATGGCAATCATTAGAAATGATAAGAAATGTCAAATGAGCAAAATTAAGAACCGTTTATTAATTTTGGCCAAAATTAAGGACTTTTAAGGTCCAAAAATCATTTTTGAAAAAATTAAGGACTTTTAAGGACTGTACAAACCCTGGCAATTAGAATCAACAGCTGCCAGTATTGGGAGAATAAAGAACTAAATAACTGGGGCGTTTTTCATTCTAATTTTCAACAGACAGCGTTAAATTTCCGGAATAGAATCATTCTTCGCTTGGGTTGATAGACCGCAGAACTTTTAGTCCTATTCAATCCAGATTGGAAAGTGACAAAAAAAAAAAAAAAAAAAAAAAAAAAAAAAGAAAAAAGAAAAAAGAAAGAAAAAGAAAAAAAAAAGGTCCGTTGGTTGTTTTGCAGCAAACTATAATAGTTTCAATATTCGAGATTTTGCGGAGAAAGGGGAGAACCTCCCAATCTTCGTACTGTATAATGTATTGGCCAAAAAAACAAAATTATTTTGACTATTCGATTACTTTCCCTTTATTTAAGCCATTCCGAATATTATTCCTTAGAAAGCTAATCTGTGTCAAAACACAACGATATTTGGAAGTTTACTATAACTTCAGCAATTACTGCAATTATGTTATTATAAACATTCATACATATGCTCATAATATAAGCATAATGATCATAATAAACATGAATATGAACTAACAAAAGGAGAATGGAAATTATTAAGATCTTGATAGAAATTCAAACGTGTGTAGTATTTGGGTGGAAGTAAAAGAATGCCGAATGTACCGGAATTTTCTACTGCTTTCGCAATTCTTTGACCAATAGAACGACGGGCACCTGGCTGTATTCTTCGTGAATACCAAAGGTTATGTTAATGCAGAGAAAGGGGGAAAAGCTATTTCCGGGCCGAGAGTATGATTCACCATCTGGCATTTCATATTAGGAAGAAAAGTTGCTTATTTAGTTTCGGCTTTGGTACGGGGAAAAATAGCGCCTTCATTAAAAAAAAAAAAGCACTAAAAGCAAAAAATAACCACTAAAATATATATATATATATATATAAGGGCTTTAAAGAAAAAGTAAGCACCTATAGGGGCCTTTATATTTTATTTTCAAATATAAGGACTTATAAGCACTTATAAGGATCGCTACGAACCCTGTGTCAAGTCTAACACTATGTATTGTGCTAATAATACATCAGTGTTATTAGCAAGCACTGATGCTAATAATAATAAGCAATATTATGGCATGTTATCATAATGCAATTTTATGGCACGTTACAGCGGATACACATCTGGAACTGTAAATTTATTTAACTATCTAAAATCAACACACAACTGTAAATTCTCGTGTTTTTTGCTACACGTACAACAAAGTGAGACTAATCACTACTGCTAGGTCTACTAATTCAACCTTTAACAACTCATTAATTTGTCGATCAACTTCTTGATGTGCAAAGGCGATTCAATATGGGCATAATATTTTAGGAGTACACCTGAAAATAACTCTGACAGAATGACCATAAACTCTTGCACTATCAGGATTGTTAATAAAAACATCCACAAATAAGTATAATATATTACCGAGATCATGACATTGTTGTTTATCCAGTTGTGTGTGACAATTTTTAACATAGTTTCTAATATCTTTCTATGTATTTTTATTTTAGCCAGTGGAAATGTAATGTATATATCCATAGTCATCACTCTGTTCAAAGATTAGTTCTCTCTCCTGCATTCTAGACATATATGGACGTAATTTATTTATTAAACGCTCTTGTACTTCCATTTTCCAGCTGAACTAAAGCAGAATGTAGTATCATGAGCTTTACGATGGTAGCTATTCTTTGCCAAGTATTATGTGATGATGATGGAACCAAGATTAACACTTTATTTCCTACTTCGAATGCTTTCTTATGTGACCTCATATTATACCTACAAGTTTAATTACTCTGAGTTTTATTTGTATTTTTATACCCTGTAATATGAGCACTTCATAACTTATCTTGCAAATCGTCTACATAGGATTCAATGAGATGTGAAGATGCAACTGGTGTACCTCTCTTACCAGGACAAAAGTCCTTAATTCACGTTAACAGTCCTGTACGTAGATAACCATACACCAACTGATAGGGAGAAATACGAGTAGTGCTGTGGGGAACTTTGCGGTATGCGAATAACAAAATTAAAAGATGAAAATCCAGTCATGGTAAAGGTCTTGAATGTTCTTATTCAACATTTCTTTCGGTGTTCTATTCTATCATTTTACTGCACCCATACATTCAGAGTGACATGGGGTAGAAAATATGTGAGACCCCAAACATCTAAAAAGGCTTTTATTAGCAGCGAGGTTAAAATTAGTCCCTTGGTCAGACCAGACAATTACGGAAAAACCTGTTTGGGTAGAAATTTTTATGATGATATCATGAGTCATTTTTGCTTGTATTGTTCTTACTGGCATGGCCTTTGACCATAGTGCAGGGTAAAATTGCACAACTCGTACAGCCACTTAATATACATCATACCTTTTAAATTTTAGGTGTCATTTCATGTCAACTGTGCCTTTTCCAACAAAAAAAAAAAAAAAAAAAAAAAAAAAAAAAAAAACACTCCCTAGTCAACCATGTTATTTCTCATTGTGTTCGTCTTCCTGCAATATCTGTGATGAAGACTGAGAAGTGTGTCGTGGTGTGGTGTATTTAATTATGGCAAAGCACACTAGGGCTATCTGCTTAACGGGAGGGATGCCTTCGTGGAGGACTTTCTAAGGGTAACTGGCTCGTATACACGTTACACATGGGGAAAACCACGAAACACCCATGCAGCCAGCCCGTTCGCGGGATTCGAACCTCGGACCGAACTACCAGTGTTCAGTGACTTTACCGCTCGGCCACTGGTGGGCAATGAAGACTGAGAAGAAAATATGATTCAGTGCCGAAAATGCAAAAGATAGGTACACAACTTATGTGCTGGATTTGACAAGTAAATGAAAAATATCCTTGTGATCATTGTTGCAATCAAATGTATAAATAAATTAAATGAGAAAAAGGGAGTTTTATTATTATTGTTCAATTTTATATGTAGTACAACTTAAGCTATACATTGTAAGACTTAGAATACTGGTTGTCTAAGTTGTATTAAGTTTGTGTTCATAAATTTTATCCAAGAAAGCAGCCTACGTAGAATTTTGTTGTAGTAAATATCAGCAATGACAACACAAGATATTATTACTATACATAATTTTTATTTTTTTCACTGATCTTGTTATTTATACCTATTTTTTCTCAAGGAGTATCACTTATGCAACCTTACCCTACACAAATCTATGGCATCTGTTTACAAATAATAAATTTATGTTCTCTATGCGATGGTGGTTCTAGTGGACCAATACAGTCTACACTCCATAATTCAATTCTGTACATATCACGAGAAATCGACTTGATAGTTTCTAGGATCATTTGCTTCAACATATCAGGGTGATTTATTTTTTTGTTTGCAAAGAACAAAAGCTCAGTGTGAAAAAAAAAATCCTGCAGCCCATGTACCAGATTCATATGGGGTGTAAAAATATAGTATTCCACACAGAAAACTATATTCTGAAAGGTAGCCAAAGGAAAGGGAATATTCTGTTTCAATCTCTGATTTCTACTCCAACTTTTTAAATAGGAAGAGGTTTTGTGGTTTTCTCCATAACTAAATAGCTCATTGTAGTACTTTACAAGAGAGGAGTTCTACTCAAACTAAAGGGTTGAAGGTTATATTAATACAGAGCAATATTTCTTAGACAGCTGAGATGTAGGCCTGCAGTAATCCCTAATGCACTAAGTTGTGCCCTTTCTAGCTTTTTAAGAATAATATCTGAAATGCAATCCTGACATACTTCAACCATTCCACCTAGTGGCACTCCCTCACTACAGTGAGGCAGCATAGCAGGACTTGAGGGTGCCTCATAATCATTGTAACCACCAGGTCACTCTGTCTGCAATTTCAACACTTTCTTACTCCAAGATTCCATGATTTATCATATTTTTAGCTTTCTTTACAAAAACAGAAATCACTGTCAGATTTCTTTCCTAATTCAAAGCTAAAATCTAATCACTATTTATCTCCCTCCAACAAAAAAAGATAAGCAGTTAAAATTAAATGAACTATGAACTTTCTCATCTTTTCACCTCCCTGAAATTCTTTGGAAATTATAAAAATGGATTTTAGTGAGATAAAGTCTATAAATAGTAACTAGATGTTGTGGGATAAATAACATCTAATAATGAAAATATCAGCACATTTTTATTTGTGTCACAGATAAAATGTCTTCTGTTGTAAAGTAAATAAATAATAAAATGAAATAATTAAATACTTACATCATCTGGCTGTGACCGATTGATTGGAAATCGATATTTTACAGATACAAGTCCAGGTGGTGAATCTTTTAGATAACACTCCTTGAGAGATAAAATATCAGTTCCCACAGGACCCCACCAGCCTGTGGCACCAAGAACAGGACTAGACTTTTGGGAGCTAAAATTGGCACTTAATGAACAGTTCGATGTATCTAGGCAGAAGGGGAAAACAAAATTCAGATCCTTTTAGGATTAACAATGTATTTTAAAAAGCAAATTCAGTCAAAAACATCACAATATAGATTAGTGATTCTACATTTCTGCTAATATATAAATTTACATTTAATTGAAAATTATTAAAAAATATATAATAAAACTTAAATGTACATAAGTTTTATATTACAGAAGACAAAAATCTGAATAAATTTAAAGTAATTGTGAAGTATCACAATTCATTTTCAGATATTATTTGGTAGAAAGGCATATTTCAAATAACAGGGTTCGTACACATTTCTGCACATGGAAATTAAGTAATTTTAAGGACCATTAATGAAAAAAATTAAGTACCTATGAGCAAATGGAAACTGAATAAATTCAATTAAAAATATTATTCTATGCCTGAATTTCACTTTTGTAATACCATCCTAAAAATAAAATAGATCCCTAAGCAGTATGCATTATTACTAAACGTGTATTAACTACCATAATTATTAATAAGTTTGAGAATAAAATAAATTTCACGCAGTTTATCAAGTAGCATTAAATATTTTACACTTATAATAGTTGGACATATTTAAAAGAAGATACGTGACATTTACGTTTCACTAATAATTAGCTTTATGCCTTTTTTTTTTTTTTTTTTTTTTTTTTTTTTTTTTTTATGTCTAATTTTGTCACATACTTGGTCAGTCTAGAGGTTTAGCAAACAGTAGGGAGATTTTATGTCAAACAGCACAGGTTAAAATGAGAAGTGAGATCATAATCAGCATGATTCATAACAAAAGATTGAATGTTGTCCCTCTGCTGTTTGTCTATAGAGAGACCTCCTGATTGGAACAAACCTGAAAGGCCTGATGTAGGCACAGTTGGCAATTGTTGAAGTTAGTCAAGCTCTGCTTAATGCAGTTAATGTCACAGCTTTGTGTAGAGTTCCAGGGGTTGTAACCCACTTAATATACTTAAAGGTTCCAATAAGCCATTAAAGTCCCAGAGGTGATAAGTTGTTTTATATAAAAGTCTCAGTAGATGCAAAGAATAAGTTTTACTTGATGGTGTTGATGGTTACTTCACAGGTGATGGTTACTTGACGGGTTCTCCACACAAAGGATTTGGCGATTGGATTCCCTAAAAACCCCAGTCACCGTTTAAAAGGGGGAGTATATAAGGTATTTCTCCCACCTTCTTGGCGACCCTTCATGGTGTAGTAGTTTGCACACTGGCAGCGGTATTCCAGAGGTCCGCAGTTTGATTCCCAACGAAGGCGTTGTTAATTTTTTATCTTTCCTGCTTTAAAAAATACCTGATGTCTCTACAAGCCTTCCCAACATTTTGGCTAGTTTATATCGATTTTCTTCTCTTTAATTATCAATCTTTTCTGACAATAATTATAAATTTGTCTCAATATGCAAACCAATGTTCTCGCTAGTTTCTGTGTGCTCTATCTCCTAACCTGTCAACCTCTCCACAATGTACCTATGGGGATTTACTTGATCTGGTAAAAGTTAAATAGTCCCTCCCCTCCAATAGACATGAAGCATATTATCACTGTATTTGAAAGTAACTACAATATCAGACAAAGAACTTAGAACATAAAGGCATGTTCTGATGCTAACAAAGTCAATTAGCTCAAGGTGACATAATTAAACAAGAACAGTCAAATTCAAACTAAAAATGTGGACTAGTGGTCAAAGATAATACGAGGGCCATCCAGGAAGTAGATTACGTTTCCGTCTGTGTCCGCTAGGGGCGGGGCTAGCGCGGCCATCTTGGGGTCAGAGCGTTGCGCAGCTCAGTCTGCATCTAGCCGTGCTAGTGAGAGGTTCGTGCTGTGCTCCGTTCAGATACTGTGACGGTTTGAAATGTCTGCATTAATTGAAAATCCCGCGAGCTGCGAGGTGCGCTCAGTAATAAGGTTTCTGACTGCAAAAAAACTGTAAACCGATAGAAATCTATCGGCAGCTTTGTGAAGTGTATGGGGACAACATTATCACTGAAGGTGGAGTGCGTCAGTGGGTCATAAGATTTCAAAATGGCCGAACCAATGTTCACGACGAAGATCGAAGTGGGAGACCCAGCATAGTGACCGCCGAACTTCTCGAAAAAGTCGATGCTAAAGTCCGTGAAAATCGAAATTTCACAATAACGGAACTTTCTTTGAGTTTTCCACAAATTTCGCGAAGTTTGTTGCACGAAATCATCAGCGAAAAGCTTGGTTACCACAAGTTTTGTGCAAGATGGATTCCAAAAATCTTGACAGAGGACCACAAAAAATCAGCGAATGGCTGCAGCGTTGAACTTTTTGGAACGCTTACCATAAGGATGGTGACTCTTTACTCGATCGCATCGTTACTGGTGACGAAAACATGGGTGAAACATGTGAACTGTGAAACGAAATTGCAATCAATGCAGTGGGGGCACACAAGTTCTCCCCAAAAACCCAAGAAATGCATGCAAACAATGTCAGCAAGGAAGATGATGATGGCGACTGTTTTTTGGGACAGAAAAGGTGTAATTTTGGTGGACTTCCTGGAAAGAGGCACTACAATAAACTCTCAAAGGTATTGCCCAAACTCTCCAAAAACTCAGAAGAGCAATTCAAAACAAGCGCAGAGGAATGTTGAGCTCTAAGATCTTGTTGATTCACGACAACGCCCGGCCCCACACGGCAAATGTCACTCGTAAAGTTCTTGAATCTTTTAAGTGGGAGTTGTTTCCTCATCCGCCTTACAGTCCCGACCTGGCCACCGAGCGACTTCCACCTATTCCCAGCAATGAAGAAGTGGCTGGCTATGCAGCGTTTTGATGACGACGCACAGCTGCAAGAAGAGGTAACGAAGTGGTTTGAAGGCGCAGGCGGCCGAATTTTTTCGAACGAAGGAATTTCCAAGCTCGTACATCGCTACGATAAATGCCTTAATTTGTATGGTGACTATGTAGAAAAGTAGTATTTGAGTGTGGCTTTCATCTGTATATAATAAAATTTGTTTCCTATACTTTGTTTATTTTTTTATTCCAAAACGTAATCTACTTTCTGGATAGCCCTCGTACCATTTAATTTTAATTTAATCTGGCTCAGTAACTCTATCATATGGGGAAACAGAAATGGGAAATTACAGTAAAGGCTGAAATGATAAACAATTGGGTAATTTACATAATTATAACTGCACATATATTTGAAGAATAATTTTCTTAATGTATTCAGTTTTTTTCTTCAACATGTTTCCATTTCATTTTAGAATTTTTGGATTGAATTAAGGACTTCTGTCATTTTAAAAAATGCTAAATGCATTTAGAATGTATAGAAAAAGTGGCTAATTTTATTTCTTTAGTAATATGAACATTCAGAAGATATATGAAATATATATGGTAAAGGCCAGTTACAGAGCTGGTGTGGCAGAATTTTTAGAATTTAGTGACATACTGAACAACAAAATTTACATGATTTACATGACCACTATTAAATTATATTTTTTTTAATAATATTGTTAAAAAAGCCCTATTAAAATCAAAATCTAATAAAATTTCACAGTTTAAAATACATAAAATTTATGACATTGATTCTTAAACGATATTAGGATAATTACACATTAAAAGCTACAAAACATTTATATTTTGTAGCTTTAAGCATCTTTTCTAACAATTAAATACTTGTCTCAATATGCAAACCAATGCTCTCAGTAGTTTCTGTGTGCTTTATCTCCTAAATTGTCAGCCTCTCTACAATGTACCTATGAGGGTTTACTTGATCTAGTAAAAGTTAAATAGTCCAAAAACCCCAACAGACGTGAAGTAAATTATCACTATGTCTGAAAGTAACTACAATATCAGATAAAGGTTTAAATAAAAAGAACTTTGAACATAAAGGCGTGTTCTGATGCTAACAAAATCAATTACAGCTTACAGTGACGTAATTAAACAAAAACAGTCAAATTCAAACTAAAAATGTGGACTAGTAGTCAAAGATTATAAAATTTAATCTGGCTCAGTAACTCTATCATATGAGGAAATATAAATCGGGAATTATAGTAAAGACTGCAATCACAAACAATTGGGTATTTTACATAATAATAACTGCACATATCTTTGAAGAATAATTTTCTTAATGTATTCAGTTTCTTTCTTCAATATGTTTCCATTTCATTTTAGAATTTTTGGATTGAATTAAGGACTTCTGTCATTTTTAAAAAATGCTAAATGCATTTAGAATGTATAGAAAAAGTGGCTAATTTTATTTCTTTAGTAATATGAACATTCAGAAGATATATGAAATATATATGGTAAAGGCCAGTTACAGAGCTGGTGAGGCAGAATTTTTAGAATTTAGTGACATACCGAACAACAAAATCTAGAGATGGCAAAACTTTTAGAATTCAGACATTGGAAGCAGAATTTAGAAAAGCACTAGGCAGCGAAATTTAGGATGCACAGAGATTGCATCATGTGGGAAAATGCCTAGTGCCAGCTCTGTGTATAATGCATTATGACATATTAGATGAATCTCTTAAATTGTCAGTTTTCAATTTCTTTATTAATAAAAAAATTACTTTCTATAATGCCTGCCCAAGTGATAATATTAGAAGCATTTTTGATATTTTCCATGCTTGTATCTAGTGAAAAGTAGAAAAAATAAAGGGAAGATAAACATGTTAAGAAAATGACTCTAGTATCAGGAGTAAAATATTCAGATATTATATTTTAATTGTTTTTCCAGACGTTCTCCAGAAAGTAAGAAATTCATCACAAACTTTCTGTAAAATACATCCATTACGTGTTGATACCATGGAGACATTTTTAATTTTGTCACATATTTCTCGAATCTTCTAGAATCATAGGTCTATAAATCTTGCCTTCAAATCCTTCTAAACTTTCCATGGTGCAATGTCAAAAATACTAAAGAAAAATTATTGCAACCACTTCTGTAACAGCAAAAAGCCAGAAATATTTTGGAAAAAAAAAAAAAAAAAAAAGCGAGGGGGGGGGGAGTGTAAAATTAATTTTATAGAGAAAACTGACGCATATTCTGAGAATTTTGAGTAATCTGAGACAATTACATGGGAAAAACGCTTACCATGAAAAAATTAAGAAGACACTTTGAATTAATTAAATAGCTAATTTTGCTTTTGCTAAGAGCTGTTTCATAAATTGGGCTTTATAGCATTATACCTTGTTTATTTTTCAGATTTAAAATATTGTATAATAAGTTGCCAAAATGAAACTTTATAATATGACAGCGAAAAATAAAATGTTTTATTTTAATGTTATTTTTTTAAATATAATTCTAATATATTACCATTATTTTAATGAAATTTATCAATGTTATGATGTTTTAAAAAAATCGGCGAAAAATTCTCAGATCTCGGAATTAAAAATTTTCTATAGAAACTGAACTTAAAATCGCCAAAATGTTGACAAGTTGTCAAATTTAGAACCTTTAATAAAAGAATTCATAACCCCAGAAGCGAAAAGTTGTTTAAGAGCTCTTTATTAGAAAAAATCAATCTTGAAATGCTTAAGTTTCACTTCTTGCTTAGAAACTCGAGTATCCCATCATTTATGTTAGAAAAAGAAACAAATTATAACCCATGAACCCATTCAAAAGATAACCATATATGTCAGTGAATTGCCAAAAATATTCCTCCAAAATGCTAATTCACACTCAAAATGGCAGTCGTAAAAACAGAGAGAAATTTCAGATGATTAAAATTAAGGACTTTCTATTGATTTTTGCCAAAATTAAGGACTTTTAAGGGCCAAAAATGGATTTAAAAAAATTTAAGGAATTTTAAGGACTCTTAAGGACTGTATGAACCCTGAAATAAGTATATAAAGCTTACTTTTAAAAGACTGGGAGCTATAAATTGAATATCTCTATGTCTAATTGAATACAAAACAACTATCAATAGCATAAAGAAAATATATACACAAAACTCAGTAATACATACCATCTGAAGAATGACATTTAAGGTCTTGCACACACCATGAACATGAAACAGAAGGAAATGGATCTTGCCTATCACTTATGATGTTCTGTACAAGTGACTGACTCCAAATAGCACAGGATAAACAATTACTTAGGACTGAACAAAATCCAGGACATGTTTCAGATAAATATTTATTGCACTTCTGAATTTACAAAAAAAAAAAAAAAAAAAAAAAAAAAAAAAAAAAAAAAAAAAAAAACTGTTAGTTTAAGAAATGAGGCAATTCTTTTTAAAATACAAGCAAAAATATGTACAATACTATAAATTATATCATAAATTGAGAAATTATAAATAGCACACTTGCCAACTTAATAAGAACAAAAGCTAAAATATCCAAGATTTTTTTGGAGGGGGGGGGGATTATAAAGTAAACTTGAAAGTGAAAACTGACATAAATCTGAATATTCTGTTACATAGTTAGGGCAAGCACTCAACTTATCATATAAAAATGAAAAACTGAATAACTTAACTTTATCCGATTTGATTTTTACATTCGAACCTCAATAATTAGCTGAAGGAAGATGGGGGAAAATTCAAACATATGAAAATTTGACTTCTTAAAAAACTTACTAATTATTGTTACCATTAATTTTAAATTCTAAATTTAGTGCAGACTTACCAAAGGTCTATCCATAGCTGTCAACCTTGAAATATGAAAAACCGGGAGTTACCAGGAGGTTTTCAACACCATAAAATAACTCCAAATTGGCATAAAGTCCCTTTATAATGCATAATTCAGGTTCATGAACTATTCACAATATGATTTTGATGTAAAATACATTAATCATTAGTTAAATATCCTAAGTTTTATTTTCTTTGACTAATTTCAGTTTGTAAACTTCTTAACACTTTTATATTGAGAAAAAGCACACTCAGTATAGTGTTAACGCTGCAGGCTGCTGTATCATTGAGCCTTGATTCGAATGCCAGAGAAAGCTTAGAGTTTTTCTAGTATGGGAGTGGCCATGCCTTAAAATATTGGTCTGCCTAAAGTCCTTTTGAGAGGCTTGCTGGTAGAGAAAGAGATGATTGGCAGACTTTGGATCCATCCCCCCCCCAAACTGTTCACCATCAAAACTGGAACTGAAGTTCTCATTTCTCATGGGTGTAAAATCAGTCTGGAGAGAAACGTTGTAACCCTTTCATGCACTCTGGGCAACATTTTCGGTGATGATATGGCTAAATGATCCAATAGATACTGGCCATTCTGAATGAGTGCCTTCTATTGCAAATGCTTGACCATTTGATATAACATAAGAAAACTATGAGTAAAGGAACTGAGAAAGTTATTACTGAGAAAATTATGAGTAAAGGAAGCTTTTATTTATATCTAAGTATTTTTAGTTATGATAAAAAATATAACTACTGGTTAACATAATGCAGTACTATATGGATAAATGTAGCAATGTAGTATCATACATCCATGTAAAGCAAAACTGAATACAAATATTAACAGATTGAATATTATTTGAATAGTCACAGCCTATTTTATAAGTAGCCATAGTAGATCAAGGCAATTCAGGTCAAATAAAATTTAGTGAGAACATTTTACTGAAAACTACTAAGATGAATTTATGGAATTTAAGTATCATTAGTTGAAAAGATTTCATTAATTTCTGGGAAATGATTTCTTTAGTAAATGCTAGAAATTTAAAACTGGGAGATTTGGTGATCTACTGGAAGATGTGATGAAAAACCAGAAGTCTCCTGGTAAAATTGGGAGAGTTGGCAGCTATGCCTATTGTATTAATATCAGCCTTTGATAAAAAGTAATTAAAACTTCATAACTTTCATTATTTCATTTAACTCGGACAATCAAAATATTCAATAATCAACAAATGTGAAAAACTAAAGACATTTTTAAACATAATAATAAAAAATACATTACCTTTACTTTCCTGCAACTTTTTATCTAAATTAATGAATTTTTGATATATTAGCATTATTTAAAAATTACAATAAGGTTTATTATGACCATTAAAATATCACAAAATTTTCAAATCACCAAATCAAAACTTTCAAAACCAAACAGCTCTTAAAACTTGTAACAAAGTAACTCAGACTCCAAAAAGAGAATTGGTTTTCAACAAAATGGATGAATGAATGACAAAATGAATTCAGCCATCTGGCTACAATCAATACTTCCTCTAATGTGCAGACGAAGTGAAGAGCAGTTCACACCTCAGTATACAGATTTTAAGATAGATCACCAAATTGACACAATTTTTAAATCTCTGCAGTGTGGGAGGGGGGATTCATCTGCATTTAGATTTCAACTTCTACATTTTCAAATGATAACTGATAGAAATATGTATACTGCAGTGTGAAATACACAATGCAATAAAAAATTTGCCTTTTCTAGCAATATAAAGCATTAGGTACTTTATGATTGAAACCAAATGCATTAGTAATAAATCTAAAAACATAAGTTTATAGTTTAGACCAAAAGTTGATGTTGATTTGTATGTATAAAAATGAAAACAATTACATCACCAATAGTTTGGGATATTAATCCACTGATTTCTACAGTGGATAGGATAGCGAAGGCCACTGTTGAAAGCTTGTAAGTTATGGTAAAGTGCAGAAACCTAACTAGCAAGAGGCCAATTTCAGAGATGGAGAAACTATTATATCTGTAGATGGAGGATTTGGCATAGAAATGGATACAGTTTGAGATTTTTACTTTCCAGGAGAAGGCTAGGTCTAAAGATTTACAAGAAAAGGGCATCATCAGATACTGAGGCAGCGAGTAAAAAAAACATGTGACCACAAAATCTACTCTATTACCATGTTTTTGAGATACCACTCACAACATGGTCAAGATGACAATTCAGACAACCCTAACAACTTTCAGACTTCAACAACAAGAAAGACAGCAGTTGCTCAAAACAGCATTTCTTCTTACAATCATTCACATCTACTCCTAATTTTTCAACAAAAGAGACAAATTAGCCATTACAAGACATTTTTTTATTTGAAAAATGTTATTTCAACTTTTTATATTCTTTTACATATTTTCCCCATTTTGATGGTTTATTGAATGCATTACTTTTGTTACTTGGGAGATTATTACACTCCAACTTGATAAAACTAGATTTTTACTATTATAAAAAACTAAATTAAAATAGTGCTGTAAAAATTCAAGTTCTTGATCTAATATTTACATTCTAAATGCAAAAAATGAAGAACAGGTAAGTTTCAAATTATTATTTAAAAGTAATATAAAATGTTACTACAGAACTTAATTATTACCAATAAACTTCATTTTTGATATAGACAACAGTCTTCATAGAAAAGAGAGTTACAAATTTTACAATGAACATACAAATTATGTAATATTAAGAGTGCCTTATTAATTATACTAATGATATAGATGATAAAAACTTGTTGCAAAATATTACAACAATTTTTTTTAAATATACTTCCTCATAATTAAGACACAATAACACGCTGAATAAATACTAATTCAGAAGTCAAACAACAAAAATCAGCGTTATACCCACAAAGTTTTCACAGGACTAGTTTCGATGGTTTTACCGAACCATCATCTTCAGCTGCAAAACCGCAAATGAACAAGATAGGAAATAGTGATTAGATAAGATAAAAAAGCCTGATTCTATTGATCCTGCTATTCAGTTCACTTTTGAACTTGAGACTTGCAATTCTCTTCCGTTTCTCGACATTCTGGTCACACGTAACACATCCAACTTCAGTACTACAGTTTACTGTAAACCTTCATCGGTTTGCCTTCCACCACACTTTAAATCATGTCATCCGACTAAACAAAAGTTAGCTTCATTTTATTCCTATGTTTTCCGTGCTCTTCAAGTTTGCTCCTCCAAACTAGCCCTTGATGAAGAACTAAATTATTTAAAAGCAATAGCTATTGACAGGGGCTTTTCACCCAACATTATTAATCAAGCAGTTAAAAAATTCTCATCTCAACACACTAAAAGCCCCACACTCTTATTTTAGGAGATTATAAAAATTCTGTTGTCATTCCCTTCTTTCCATCAATTAGCTATAAAGTTGCACATATTTTGCAGAAATTTAACTTTTGGGTTGTTTATTCTCCATCAATAAAATTCCAACTTCTATACTCAAGGACCCCATTCCGGATATGAATTCCTGGGTATTTATAGGATTCCTTGCCAGTGTGGTTTAACTTACATTGGCCAAACTAAGAGAGCCTTAAAATTTCGCGTCAAGGAAACATGAGGCATATGTTAGAAAAAAAGGAAACACAGAAGTCTTCTGTTGCTCAACATTGTTGGTCCGAAAATCACACTTTCAATTTTTCTGCTGCCAAAATTATTCAAAAAACATCTTCCATTGGAGAACTGGATTTTCTAGAGAGGCATTTCACATTCATAAAAATCTTTCTGTTCTAGTTAACGATCCTAATTCCAATCCAAATTTGCCTTCGGCTTTTAGAGAAATTATGTTTTAGTTCTGGTTTCGCCAACAGATGGCGCCCACTTGCTTATTCTTGTCCAGGCTTTTTTTATCTTATCTAATCACTATTTCCTATCTTGTTCATTTGCGGTTTTGCAGCTGAAGATGATGGTTCGGTAAAACCATCGAAACTAGTCCTGTGAAAACTTTGTGGGTATAACGCTGATTTTTGTTGTTTGACTTCTGAATTAATACTTCCTCATATTAATGAGCTAACTCCTTTTATAATAAGGAACTATATGAAAGACTTCGTATCTCATATATAACTTTCTATCTTGTAAGAAAAAAAACTTTTTATCATTTAGAGAATATAAATAATTATACCAAATAATTAAAAAATTGTAAAAAAATGGATTTCTTGCATAAAAGCATAAAATTGTAACGCAAGAATATTTCATTCAAACAGTCAGGAACGTTGGAAGATATAAAATAAATAAGCAATCAAATGCCCTTAAATTATATCAAAATCAATAAAAATGTATAAATGTAACAAAGTTAATTATTTAGAACATGCATTTACACGAATGGTACATTATTAATACAAGAATGAGAGATCATTCTGTCTTTGTTATGGCAATGAATTAGGATTCTCAAGGCCTGATATCCAGGGTCTACTACTATTAATCATTTACAGACAAAGCATATATGGGTATCTAACTATAGCAAATGATGCCTATTCATGAATCACTAAAGACAGATACTGAAAAAGGTTGTCCAGGCTGTTTTCAGCAAACTAATGGGCCTGGCTGTACAGATCAAATCCATGTCCAGTATTAGAGCTACAAAGAATGCCAGTGTCCAGATAATTTAGCACACACCATATAAACTTCACAGTCTGAAAAAAGGACAGCATCTGATTAATATTCAGCTTTTAATGGGATTGTTTTAAAAATAATCTTTTTCTAGTATTTAAAAAACCAAAATTAGACCTATGCATGAAAGCAAAGAATTGAGCAGTTAAATAAATTTTATTCTGCATATAAGGAATGTTGTGAGTGTGGAGTCACTGTTCAAATTCATGCTCTTTAGCTGGATCTTTTCAAAGTAGCTTTAACTCTGCAATGGACCTTCTCAAAATGCATGTTAGATCCCTTAGTATGTAGGAAAGATTCTTAAAATGCTATATGCAGTTGGAATGTCTTGTTATAGATAATTTCAAAACCATCTATACTTTTATAACCTTCACACATCCTGAAAAGGGGCATTTTCATCAAGATTATGTACTGTCCTACTGGAAACTATTAACCAAGTATGACTCAAAGTATGCAAAATGTGCTCTAGATTTATACATGGATACATGCTGTTAGGTTTGAAACTCTTTGGACTGCTGTGGAATAAGGTATCAGGGTAATGAATCTGAAATCAACATAACGTGAAGTTGCAGAAAATGTTTAACAGGCATGACGATCAAATCTCCTCTAATATCTAAGTATGCTACCCTTAATACTTAATAATGTATCTTCAGTGGTGATATACATTAACAATAGTACAACACTACAATCTTAATTATGGTTATTTTAATAAATGTCATGAAAGCAGGATTTTTATTTGTTCTGTTTGATTACTTTTTCAGTTTCTTCTTTTGTTTTAAAGTATTATGTTTTTCTACACTTCAACTTTCTAATGAAATATTCTTAGTCTGTACCTCATTCTGATAAATCAGAGAGACAATAAGGGACAGATTTATGCTACCATTTTGGCAGAATAGACATCAAAAGCCTAACAATAAATCTTAAATTTTCTCAATAAACAGATATTTTTAAATGTTACTACCATTCTAGATATTTCTCAACAACAACAAACAAACAAACAAAACAAAACAAAAAAAAAAAAAAAAAAAAAAAAAAAAAAAAAACTCATACTTATTACATAAAGGCAATAAATAGTAATAATACCATAGAAATACATAATAACCATAGCAATAAATAATAATAATTTTTAAAAGTTTCTACCATTCTAGATATTTCTCAACAAAACAAAAACAAAAAAAACCTCAAACCTATTAGAAAGTACTAATAAATAACGCACTTTTTTAAGGGGTCTTTATTCAGAATATATACAGTAAATTACCTTAATGATATCCTGTCTTTCAATACAAGCATTATTATCAAAACACCATCCACATGCAAGATTTGCCTGGCAACTCTCCATATGCTTATGCCTGAAAATAATAAGTTTTTCAAAATATTTTTGAGGGAAAAAAATCAAGTCTGAATTACTCTATTTAAGGACAATTTTAATCAACATTTTTAGATGTGTCAGAGATGTCAGAGTGGAACAGAAGGGTTAGGGTAATTCAACATTACTAAATGAGATACAATAATTGAATATAATTTATATAATGTATTTAGCTTAAATTTATGTGGATCTATTATGAGACTATAAATTCATGGAACTTTGTCTTAACCCTCTGACTGCTCAATTTGTAGACCAAAATCGCTTCCAAAATTGTGGTTTTTTTTTTTTTTTTTTTTTTTTTTTTTTTTTTCCCCCATATTTTAAATCTATGTATATTGGAGAATTGAAAAAGCACTTTTTCTTTCTAGAAAATATTTTTTATGTAGACTTTTATCATAAGAAACTAAGTTGCCAGAAAAACCAATTTCAGATGTTATAACAAAAAAAAAAAAAAAAAAAAAAAAAAAAAAAAAACTTTTTTTTAATAAATTTCAGTCGAATTACAGTTAATTTCTATTTATTGCATAATATAAAAAAGTAAACTGTATAAAATTTAAGAAAATATGTAGCGCTGAGGGAAAAATACCTTAGAAATGCAGTTTAGTAGAGTTCAAAACAGGGTTCAAGGCAATGTCCAACTTCACACTTTTTGAATCAGATTCAATAAATCTAATTAATACTTGAATAATTTAATTAAATAATCAAGATAATTGCTGAACGTTTTCTAGCAGCCAAGAAAAAAGTGGCAAAATGCAAAGTTTGAGCGCTAATACCACGTGCCTTCAAATGCCGCAATTTAGTGGACAACTAACGATATCTGTTGGCTAAAACGTAAACTAAATGCCTAATACTGTATATAATTTATTTCAATGGTTAAACGGTATGCGCTACTCAATAAAGGAAGAAAAACATATGCCCGCGGAAATCGTGGGATAAGCAAATTTTGCTACATTTGAGTTGCCTGTGGAAATTGCGGGATGATCAGCCAGAGGGTTAATATTTCTGAATCCCTTCTTTGGCTAAAATCTGATATAATTTATGAATTCCATTAATCCCACCATTCATAACATTCACATAATTTAATAATATGTAATGAATTTAATTTTAATGCTAGAGTTCATTGAAAACCATTTTCTGCTTGCCTTCTTTCTCATCCAAAATCTTTTCACTCAGCTGAATAATAATAATAATGAAAGCTCCTTTTTATTCTTTGTGTTCTGTGCTACAAAGGTTAGTTTTTAAAAATTTTTCTTGCTCAGGAAGTCAGCTACTTGGATACTATTCCTATTGCCATAACTTTTCTCTCCTCCGTTAAAGATAGACATAAAATATTTTTCTCAACATCCTACAGAATGCTGTCTCATTAAATGTGATCACAGCAATTTTGTTATTCTATTTCTCCTTTTCTAAATTATAAAATTATGTGCATTCTCCATAAGTTTAACTTTTGAGATTTTTTATCAATTATTATTCAATCTTTGAAGACTATTTAAAATTTTAACTTTAGATGAATTCATAAATTTATTAAAATTATATAACATTATATAATCTTAATTTTCTTACCAATATGTTTAATACATATATGGAAAACTAGCCAAGCATTCAAATTCTTTATTAAAAAAAAAAGTCAAGGAAAAATAAATAAATCTTTCCTTGTTAATCATTGTCAGTCTGTTAATTATTCTGCAGTTTCCTTTTAAAATTATTAAAAAACTTCAAAAGTTGGTGTTTCTTGTAACTTTCCATATTCATAAAATTTATTAACTTTAGTTAATGACATTAATTCCAATAAACACTTTTTTAATGAAATTTTTTAGATCATAAACTTATAGTTTTTATTATGGCTTCTATTTTGCTCTAATACATACAATTATGTTTTTCTTTTTTCATTATTTACTTCACCTACTGAAATGGTATATATTTTACAGCCCACACTTATCTCTTTTAAAATTGATATTTTTTCTATAAAACCAAAATAATATGATTTATATTTAATTTTTATTTGCTTATCTTTCAAACATTTTTTTAAAAAATATGCCATAAACAAAGGACTTGAATATTCCACAGTAAAACTTCAAAGAAGCATATTTTATTAAACTGATACAGGATAGTAAAACAATTATGATAAAGATTAATGCCTTAGTAAACTTTTCTGATATGGATGAGAAGAATCAAATTACACAACATAAATTATGATGATATACTTTAATGATAAAGATAAAATTTACCTTGAACAAGAGCTCATTAAAAGTTGATCAGAAACTATTGGTAAGGGCAGAACATATGCAAGCAAATGAGATCGCATTAAACCACTGTATCCACCAAATATTATGAGAGTATGATCACGACGAACACCCATTGCATGAGAAAATACACCCTGACTTATTGGATTTGGAAAGCCTATAAAAAGATAACAAGAATTTGGTTTGATGCTTGAGATTAGAAAAGCAGCTACAATTGATAAAACTTATATAACTTTATTGACTTTTCTAACTCTTTAAACATATTTTAACATTTTAAAATGAAAAATGTAAAATGACAAAAATAGAATAGCATACATAAGACTAATCATTATCCACAGAAAGGGCAAAAAAAATGAGGAAAGAATAAAGGAAAAAAATATGAATTAAAGGTGAAATGTCCAAGGATATGGCTTCACATACATGCATGTTACTTTTTTAAATAAGGCATGTTAGTGACTACCATTTGAAATTTCAAGAACATGCAGGTTTCCAGCATTCTTTACATAGGATTAACCACCAATTGCATTTATGCCATTGGTCTGTTTGCTTGATAATGTGAGGTAAAACATTCAAGAAAATTGATCACCCCACCAAATGTGAAATAGGATCAATCTTCTAGTTCTTAACAGCAAGAAACATAAAAGCTAGCTGAGGATATTCATCAACAGATATGTGAAATGTACACTACCAGCACAATAATAAACAGCAAATGGTGAACATAAAAACATGAATGAGATTATCAAGGAAGATCAAGAAAATGTCCATGATGAATCATACTCTTGTCAGCGATTTGTAATCACTGAAGATTTGGTGCAGGCAGCTGAGACCCAAAATCACACAAACAAAAGATTCTAGATCCAAATTTTCATCAGAACAGCCACAAATTTCAAGGTCAGTTTTGTTTAATACTGCTTATCATCAAAGGGGGCTGGGACAGGATTCTGACCCTATAATTATAGCCAAGGATAAAATACCCCGTAGCCAAAGGATAGAATACCCCGAAACTCATTGTTTGTTATGATACCACTGAAAATTTAATAATAATCTTTAGTTACATGAATTGAGGTATTTTCTATTAACTCATCACTTTCATAGATGACCCACCCAGTTGATAAATTATATACAACACATCATGATTAGAACAATTGTGCTGCAAAAATCACTATATAAAAACTCTAACAGGTCTGGGTTGTATTTGAATACCTCACCCTACATGATAACCTAAAAAATTCTTGCCATTTTTAACTATCAAAAATAGGCAGACATACAGCACATGGTACTTGACATTAGGTCTTGAAATAATCTTCATCAGCATGAATTATCCTTTGCCAATGTTCGTGCAGTTGTAAAATACCCTGCCAATAAAACTTGGGATGGAAGGGTCTTGGGCACAAAGAAGTTGTAAGGATCTTAAGTATGACTAAAATTTATTTTGTTTTAAAACTTTACTGTCTTCTTTTATTTTCCACTTCCGGCCAGAATAAACGTGTTAATTTGTTTATGCAAATTGTACTTGCTAACACTTAAGCATTTAAGTTGTGGCTTTTCGCCAAGAACAGAGTTAGATGGGGAGAGAGTGAACCTTCTTGCCACTTGCTGTCTGCCTTCAAGGCCAGAGGTTTAGTCCTCTTGATATCTAAGACGTATTGTAGTTTTCAGCAGTTTGCGTACTACATACATGAAAAATCTAAAAGGCCAGTCTTAGTGTTAATCATCTGTGTAAAGTACTTGAGTTTAGTTCTTATTCAAATTTAGTTACCTAGTAGCTCTTATTTTCTTACATTCAGACCATTATTAATTAAAATAAATGTTAGTCTTTGTATCCCAAAGTGCGGGAGCGCCTGTAATATCGTGGAGAATAAAGGGTAGTTAAATCCTTCACATCTTAATCATCTTTTCTACAATTCCACAGAACGTAGCTTCCAATAAGCTCCCTGTTCTTTTCAGCACACTTACACGTTTCCTAAACAGATTTGAAGAACCAGCAGTTCTGATATAGTCAGTGACTGAATGCCACAGGTCTGTCTCACTGTTGAAGGATTTTCCACTGAAGTATTTGGTTAATCGCCCAAGGAATTAAACAGATGACAATTTGTGAGTGCTAAGTTAGGCAAGCATATGATCTCCCAGCCAAATCACTAAATGGTATCCCTGGTTGTTCTAGTCCATGTGTTAGCATTGTCATGGAGGTACAGCACACCCTTCAGTAAATGAATGCTGGCTCCTTCTGCTCCAATACATGTTGCACCTATTGTAGTTCCTATGACTACAGGTCCTTAGTGATGATGGGCCCTGGTGGTAGTAGGTCATACTGTAGAAACTGGTAGCCGCTCCATCAGACGCACAGTCTAATTTTGCATGAGTGTGTGAAAATAGTCTTGAGGTGTGGGGCAAATGGTTACACACTAAACCCATTTTTTAATCACTCATAAGCATCACACATAGGTGTGCTGCAGTGCTGAGAAAGCAACGACAAACATAGTCTCAATCGCTGCTCCTCGTTGCTGTTGAAATGTGTGCAAACCCACTTGCTCAATCAGTACATCTTACTCATGTGGTGCACGTAAAGTCTGATTTAATCTTTAGAAACCTGAAAATGTTTGGCAAGTTCACCATACTGCTTTCCTTCTCTGTGGCTGCCTTCAGGGCCTCATCATCCAGCATATATGGTTGTCTATTATAGATTTCCTGAAAAAGGAAACAATTTCCTGACCTGAAAATCTAGAATTTATGACAGGTGGTACATTCATTCTTAGCATCTTCACTAAGTTCCTCACATAATAACGAATTCATGCCATTGCGCCAACAGGTTCACCTCAACCACCATACAAAAACAACCATGAATAAACTACTTCAATACCATCATTTCCCTCTAGCACCGAAAAAGCTGAGAATGCTGTGTGTGCACAGCATGACTGTATTAGTGCAATTCAATGGTTACACTAACCCTTCATCACTTTTCGGGCTCATGAGTGACTTTCTTTCCTTTCTATGAGCACTTCTTCAAGTGGGTCGTGAAATACGCAAAGAACATTTTGGATTCACTTCCATATATAATGAAAAAACAAAATCACAACAGAGATATAAATCCACCTTCTCATTTTGTGCATTACAGCTTTCACAGACGTGAAAGTGAAATAAAATTAAAATAATAATAATAATAAAAAAACTAACATTTTTCTGACTGCATTTAACACTGAAAGCAAGAAATAAAGAATGATTTTTAACTAATTATATAGAATCCCATAGTTATTAAGCAAGCCTTAACTTTTGACAAAAGTGAAAAATGATCTATAACTGCTGAGTCTGCTAACAAGAAAGAAAATAATGCACTGTTAATTCAAAATGTTAACAGCTATAATGAATCAACAAAGAGCTTTGGAACTAAAAGTAAAGCAACAAAGCTGGAAATTTTCAACTATTACATTTTCGTTGTCTATTCAACATGAAAAGACTCATAGCTTACATATAACATGTACCTAAACAGAAAGAAATGAAATAGGAAAAAAGGTTCTAATTACGCAAATGCTTATTTAATGCTAAAAAAGGATGCATAAGTTAATAGAATACAAGGAATTTTGTACCTGTGTACATTTTATGAGCATTTATTTAATAAATTAACATAGTACATTAGAAGATTAACAATTTCAACAACAGTAGATAACAGAAAAATGACAGTTCAAGATATGATTATTTTAGGGAAAAGCATATGATATCCATATGAATCATAAACCATAATGCAAATGCCTGAAGCTTGATCAGATTCCTAGATTTTCATCTAATATTAAGCGGTGGGAATTTTGTTTGCAACATACACTTTAAATTCCTATTAATTATACTTGAAAGGTGTTATGAACTTAAGAGAATTTTTTAGGAGGAATAATTATGTGAACTGATAATTATGTGCAATTTTTTTTAAAGATAATATGTTTCATTAAAAATCCTGAACAAGTGTAAGGCCCACCAACGGCTAAGTGGTAAAGTCGCTGAAAACTGGTAGTTCGGTCCGAGGTTCGAATGCCGCGAACGGGCTGGCTGCATGAGCATTTTCGTGGTTTTCCCCATGTGTAACATGTATATGAGCCCGTTTCCCTTAGAAAAGTACTCCACGAAGGCATCTCTCCCTTTAGGCAGATAGCCCTAGTGTGCTTTACCATAATTAAATAAACCAAACCAAACCAAAACTGAACAAGTGTAACAAAAAGCCATTTAAATAAAATAAACGTAGGTTAGAGTAGAGAGAAGTTGTTTCATTTATTGCCAAGTTGTTATTTCATTTATGGTAGCCTGAGTAGTTGAGTGTTATGGAAACCTTATTATGATGTAATCGATTGCATGATTGTGGTACATTCGCAAGAGCTTGTGGGTGTGTTGATTAGGAAGTATATTGCCTGTTTTGTGGTTTAGACGGTAAAATGGCTGAATGTGGTAAGATTAATTTGAAGTTTATGTACAATTTGGAAAGAAAGGAGAAAAGAGCATTAATTGAATGGTTCTAAATGAAGGTTTACTTAGTAGCCATTATTAAGTGTTCTGTTTGCAGAAAGGAAATGCATATGGTCGAATGTTGGACGATAACGGCGCGCTTATGGAGGATATTTTTTACTCTTATTTTGTGAATTTATGCGGCAACGCCAGTATACAGATTCTAGTTCAGATAATTTTAGGAAGTTTTTGGATGCTGTTAAAGAATTTTGTTTGATTGAAAACATGTTAATTCGGAAATAAGGTAACTGAATATTTCCTTTGCGTAGTGCAAAGATGAATTTCCTTTTTTATGTTACTACATTGTTTGATAAAATATAGTTTATTGAGATTATATAATTTTTTGTAGGCTGCTCCTTTGATTTTTTAAGTGAATATAGTTCAATGTGTACATGGACAAAGTCAAGGGAGTGCGCAATGCCAAGTTTGTGCAATTTTCTGATTTTTTTAAGTGAAAATATGTCGATGTGTACATAGATACAGAATTTGTGCAATTCTTTGTCTTGTTAGTTTGGCTTGGTATAGTGGCCAAAATAAGAAGCCAAAGAATTGCGCAAACTCGGTATCCATGTACTGCCAAAAATCACCAAGGGGTACATGTAAATATATTTTTACCTAAACGTAAGATGGAGCAGTTAAGCTTATTAATAAAAAATCTCAAATGCTTTGTCTTACACTTATATTTTTATTTAATAACAAAATAAGACTGGCATATTTGATTAACCATGTGAGTTGAAGAGTAGAAAGATTGAAGCACCATTACATAATCTACATATACATATTTAAAATACATGTACCTAATTACTAATAAATCTTAACATAAAAGAAAATTAATCTGGAACATACCAATAAAATCTTTCCTAATGTTAGAAACATCAACCCATTTCTGACATCTCAAGTGATACAGATGTGTCTCATTGTCATAACATATTTCTTCTTCCACATGTTTATGTGTGTATCCTCCATAAATAATCATATAATCACCAACGATAGCAGCAGAATGGAAGGCTCGCTCTAAAGGTGTGAACTTATTTTTGTGATGCTGAATCTTCACCCAAAATTTTTTCTCCACATGGAAAGCATGAATGTGATTGCTAAGTTTACTTAAATGTGAGAATTCAGCTGTAATGCCACCAAACACAAATATTGTTTTTGTCTGTTGATGATAGAGTGCACTATGTCCGACTAAGCGATGAAGACTTTCCTTACCACCATATGTATCTACAATCTGCCATTCACTCATAGCTTCAATGTTAATTTTGTATATTTTAGATGAGAAGGTTCCATCACACAGATTACCACCAATAACATACAGCCAATTGGAATCAACCAATGTAAGTGAATGCTTGGTCATTGGAGGTGGGAAAAAAGTACTTTTAGGAGAAATGAGACTCCATTTCCAAGTAAGTACATTCAGAATCCACAATTCATTAGAAAGAGTTCCATTTTCTAATTCACCTCCAAAGATGATGATGTTATGATGATAGGAAACAGCTGCATGACCAAAACGAGCAGTTGGAGAAACATCTGGTGTTATATTATGCCACTGATTAGTTTCAAAAGAAAACATTACAGTATCTCCTAAAACTTCACGAAACATATAACCACCAAATACATAAAAACTATCAGTCTGTTGTACATATGTGCCTGTGTGACCTGATCTTGCTTGAACACCATCAGAAGCTACCAAATGCCATGTGTTTCCCCCACTCTTATTGGAATCAGGCAGACTGCAATCCATTCCTGCATATCCAGGTGTACATTTGCACTTAGAGGAATAAGATCCGTTAGTATCACATTTTCCTCTTCCCTCTTCATAACCACATGCCGATGGACAAAGATTATGTTCACAAGCATCACCTGACCATAACGGATCACAAGAACAATGATGGTCCAGACACAGACCTCTATTGCTACAGTTAAGTGGGCAGGCAGTCACACTGAAGATAGCTTCAAAACCACCCCTCACATAGTTTGTATCACTGTATAACAATATCAGCATCTGAAAAATATAATGAAAAGATTAGGTATAAATCCTTCAATGCAAGAGAAAAAGAAGTTTTATTATTATTAAAGAAAATTTTATAAAATTCACCAAAAATTATTAAATGCAGATTACATGATGTCTGGCAGTTACAGTTTATAAGTTCCAAGCTATCTAGAGTTATAAATATTGATCAGAAAGCTATCAAATTTTAGGAGTGTGTTAATGAAGTAAAGTAAAAGAAATCAAGTAAAAACAAGAAAATGGTTTCAGATTCCACCATTGGAAGGCTCTTCTCAATACAATTGTACAATCTGCCAATACAATATACCATCATATGCTAATTTTTGCAACCACATGAAATATGTCACATGAAATTGATAGATGACTCATGAGGTTGCTTACTTAAACACCATCAGAAGAACTATTTCCAGAATTAGTTCAGAGGGAAGCATATCTCATCACTTACACAATATTTCAACCAATGCTCTACACTCTAACAAGAACATACTAGTTTAAGATTTCAAATAGTAGCTGGCAAATGGTGGGCATCATTTCATATTTGTTTTGTCCTGATTACACAAAACAAAACTGTAGCCTAATATCAACTGTGAATGATGCAGCAATACACCTTTTAGAGGTGACTGCTTTGCTCAATTTCTTCTTCATAACTTTAATAATAAAATTTCATAACCGTCTTATGAATACTGAACTAATACTGAACATCTGAACTGTAACTATAGACACACTATATATCATTATCCCATGCTAAAACTTTTCGTAAACACTCTGATAAATATATAACATGCTAAATAGGCAGTACAGTCTTACTAATAAATCTATTTTCTAATGTTTTCTAAAAAGGTAATAAACAACAAAATAAAATGTAATTAAGTAAAAAATCTCCTGAAGGGAAAGTAAATATAAAATATAGATTTTATGTTTGGATAAAATATAAATAAGATTATTGAAAAATTAGAAGTTTAAAATAGACTATCAAGATATGAATAAATATACATGGACTGAGCCGGATTTCTGGATTATGGCTTGACTTGAAGGTTATTTTCCTTAGAATGGATAACTTCATAGAAGACTATAGAGGCAACTGGTTTGTATTTACTTTACACAAGAGGAAAATAATTAAAATCTTATGCAATCAAACTGCCAGAAATAGATTTCAGGGCAAATAACAGTATTTCACAGCTTAATTCAGTTGGCATATAAACATATGACTATGAAGATATAAATAAGGAACCATATAAACCAGCACAATTTTGAGAAAATGAAAAAATCAAAAGCTACTCAATAATACTGATAACAAAAGTTGTATAAATGCAAAACAACAAGGACAGTTATATACAGTACAAAGTCTAAAATCCAGACTTCTTTGATTCCGGATTTTTCCAGATATTAAAATATCAGTTTAAATCTAGTAAGATGGCATGCAGAAATTATAAAATTAAAAATATAAAATCATGATTTATGAACTAAAGGGTATCAAAATTTACAAAAAAGAAAAAAAAAAGAGCTTAATATTTATATGTCTACTTTATTAAACATTTCTTTCAATGTATGTTGTTTAAGTTGCTTTGTTTTTTTTTTTGCTAATACTTTCTCTTTAATTTTAGAGACAGATATAATTTTTTGTTCAGTTACTAAGTTTCATTGTTCAAGTCCTGTAATTGTTGTGTCGAGAATTCCGACTAATTTGTCAATCGAATTTTTTTCATTTTCAGTAACCTTTATGGCACATTTTTTACTATCGGTAGTGGTATTTTCTGGATCTAGAACCATACTGCAGATTTTGCCATCCATTAATTGATTAATGATTGGAACATTCATCGCAAGGAAAAACTTCTGTTAACTCTTCTTCTTCCCTAAATTCTGCCATTAAGTGCAGCTATGAGAGTTCTGGTGCAAGTTCTGGCTTTGTATGAATAACAAATCAGTTAATCTTAATTCAAATAGCACCAAATGTCATCTTTTAGCCTATGAGCATCATTAACAGAATCTATTTTTAGCATATGGAAAGAAATTTTTGTTAAATCTTTCCTCGTCAACATTTCTTAGTGCTTTAACTTAAATCTGTAATTGGCACCAAGCTTAATGAAAACAGAAAAGGTTACTATACTCTTTGTTATTCAAATGTTTATACAAAAAATTATTTAGGCATCACTGCATGAGTCATTACTCCTCAAGCTGTCATGTGTTGATAAATATGTGGTGATGAAAGAAAAATATAATAATGATCTGCCAGGTTGGCATCAAGGATATAAAATATTAGTTGGTGTAAAATCAACAATGTTTCTATGTCAAATGTTTAAATTTGAGATGTATGCCAAGCAGATAGGCAGCTACCGAGTTAAATTATTGATCACACAAATTTATGCTAAAGTGATTATTTTTACAATAATGATATATTTTATTTAGTGTCGAAGTGAGATTAAAAATCAAGACTCTCCACATGTTTTATTATGAGGGGAGAAAATTAAATGCATATGTGTAAAGCAAACCCCCCCCCCAAAAATCCTAAAAAAAAAAAAAAAAAAAAAAAAAAAAAAAAAAAAGAGGGAGGAGGGCTTTGAGGTGTAGATTTTAGATCATTCTGGATATTGGCTGTCCAAATCTCAGACTTTGTGCTGTATATATTTAACAAAATATAATATGATATTTTATATTTAAAAATAACACAATAGGCTCAGATGTAAGTTTTGGTACCTTTCTGGTTATTTTCATTTCCCCAGACCAGAATATTGCCAAAAAAAAGTATGATGCAAAGCAATATGTTGCACAAATAGTTATGTGGCAGTTCAAATGGCACCAAAAAGCACAAAAAAAAAAAAAAAAATTGGTCAATGTCCACCATGCCAATTCTTTTGGCTAGTGTGCAATGCCAAATTGCTTAGATGCCAATTCTGATATATATATATATATATATATATTTAAGTGAAAAAAGATTTCTATGCACTTAGAATCAGAAAAGGAAAAAAAAAAAAAAAAAAAAGAGAGAGAGAGGATTTTATTACCAATGATACTTGCTTTTCTAATTTTGTTGACTGATTGCTCATGTACGGAATTATTAGTGTACTACCATTTTGAAAATGACGGTTGGCTATTGCACATTAGCTTGACAAAAAACAGTTGGCAATAAGTTCAGACGTTTTCGTGGAGGTACCCATAAACAGAAAGAACCTAACTGATTTTTTTTTTTTTTTTTAAATTGAAATAATACTTTGTGTATAACTCTGTTCTGATACATCTAAAAACCAAACAAATTCTTTCTTAAGCATAAAAATTATTGTTTTGTCACCAATTCAGAAAATACATTTCCAAGCCTCATTTGTTAAAAGACAAGAACCATTTTTTAAATGGCGGAGCATTAAAATGTCCATAAAAGAGCAATCAATTAATAAAATTAAAAAAGGGAGAAACACCAGTAATAAATTGAATCAACAATTTAAAAAAAATCTTTCTGTATCCCCCTACTGTTTCCCAAGCAATGTTTCGGTGTCGTACACAGCCCAACAGTAAATAAAGCTAACAGCTGTTGTAAAAGAGATATGGCTATCTGCGAACCAATTTCTGATCCACATTCTAACACTTTAATTGCAATTTTTTACTTTGTATTTATATCAAATTCAGTCATTTATGAAGCATAATTTCATAGATGTGAATTTTTACATTCTCTATTGCTGGGCAAAACGCCATATTTCTACAAAAATGCATCTCTTTCTTTTTCATCAGCTGGCAAACTCCACAGCCCAATTTTGATTTGTTGTGAGAAAACAAATATATTCGATGCAAAATAAAGCACTAAAAAGAAAAACAAAGGTTGAATATCAAAAGCGCAAATTCGCATATATGCAAATTAATAAATGTGTGTTATGCTCACACCTGGGTTGCCAGAAAATGCCAAAGATATATCGTAATTAGACTGGATTAAGAGCAACTAGCCTGTGTAAATCAGCAGCTACATGATATACAACCATGATACACACTGGCTGTCAGTCACAGTAAACTATCTGAGCTAAGAAGAAAATGTGAGATTAGACAGAAATTTAGACTTAACCAGTTTACAAAACATGAAAGATACTTACTGATCCATGATTAGCTGTCACCAAAGGTGGAGTTGTATTGCCACTGAAACTCCCCAAGAGAGGGCTAGAATATGACTCCCCATTATATATAAATACATGGTCATAAGAACATTCAGTATCCATTTTGATAAATGAAAGTGTAATGAATGAGTTTTTATCAGATGCTAGAAATATTAAAATAAAAAAGTTAAAGAAAGTTTTAGCAAGTTAAAAGTAATAAAAATCAGAATACACTTTATCACTATTTTTAGTTACTGAAAAAGTAACAGCTCAGATTCAATAAAAAATTGCGAAAAAATATGAATATATTTTTATATACATTATAGATGACAACATATAAAAATATATGACATTCACCAGCAGAGCAAATTTATTTTGAGTTTTCATCAGAAAAACTGTCTGAATCAAATAAAGCACAGACAAAATGCAAATGAATGTGGATTAAAGAAACAGCAACAAAATTTTTTAAATTTTAGTCACTAAAACAGAAATTTAGATATAAAATGACACATAAAAATTATGCATTTATCTCAATAAAACAAAATTAATAAAAGATATACATTATTTATAATAATTAATTTTTCAAAAATTTATTTTACAAAATTTGTCGTTCAGATAATAAGTCCCACATTTGAAGTTTGCATTTGGTTAAAAATTTTACTCTCTGAGCTTAATTACCCAATTTTTTTAAGAATAGTTTTTAAAAATTTTATTTTTTTTAAAGAATAGTTTTAAATTTAATTTAAAGAATAGTTTTAAAGAATAGGTTTAAATATTAAAAAAAATCAAATATTCCTTCTTCTTCTATCTTATATTTCACAATGAGCTTTACTTTTATTGTCATTTACATTTATATGAATTTACTTTTTAACTTAGTCAATCTAACCAGCCAACTGTTAGACTACCTGACTTTGGGCACCAAGAAAACATCCTGATATGCTAAGGCCATTGATATGCTGAGGGCATTAGACATTGAGAGAAAGAATGGAATTTATTGCTTCAGAAAATTTAAATGATGAAGCCAAGCAATGAATAAATAACAACAGGCTTATATACAGAGTGCATTGCTGTTTCATAAATATAAGTTTATTTACGTGTTTGGCACACTCAACTAATTTGATGACACTTTAAAACTATAACATACCATTATTTTATATTATTTTAAATTTAAAATATGTTAACAAAATGCTTTAGTTTTACTAAAAGAGAAAACAAAGTGCAAAAATAAATATAATTTTAATGTACTTAAATTATTACTAATTCAAAAAGAATTTCTACATTTTCAATATACCTTTGATGAGCCATTCACAATGTGAATCCTTTGGATAATCTTTGTTTCCACTTGAAATGACTCCATAAGAAGTAGTAAGAACTTTACGCTCTCTATCACAACTGAAAGAATGGGGATTTAGCCCTGGATCTAATGCTGGGACAACCAAGGTTAAACACACAAGGAAAAATGCATACACAAGTTGCAGAAACTTTTCTGTCATAGTGAAATAAATTTAGATTTGGTGGGGAATTGAGCTGACAGTAGCCCACCAAAACAAAGGAAAGATCGCTGGAGGAACGAAAACATCTTGCTTATATTAGTCCTTCATGTTGGAATCAGCCAATCCATCATAACAGCTTATGCAATCCTATAAAAGAAATAAAACTGCTAGTAATTAGGCTGGCTAACTAATAGTAATAAATATACTATTAACATAGCAAATTAAGTTAAGCAAATTAACATATAGAGAAATAATTTTTTAATAAAATTAGATTTATTCCGGCGCTTCAGATAAAAGTAAGCAGATTCTGAGAATTTTAAGTCTATAAGGACATAGCCTCAGACTTTACTGGGCCTCCATATCATTCTACAATTTCTTACTAGAATTTTTAACTTTATATATTGAAGAAAGTGGGTACTGAGAGGTAACAAAAATGTATTAGACCTAGGATAACAAATTAGTTTTTAAATCAAGCATTATTTTTATGCAAAATATAAAGGCATTACAATTCTTGTAATCTATCTATTATTTTCATATCTTAGGAATAAGGCACGTATTCCCATTCAGAGTGTCTATTATCCCTAGCATAGTTTTTCCAGGGCACACTTTCCTCATTTCTGCCTAAGATATGAAAAGAATGAATAGAAGACATAGAACATAATGCTTAAGAAGCAATGTAAACAGAAACTATCATATAACATATAATAACAAGAAAAAAAATAATTACTATATACCGAATTATTTTAAATTTGGAGCACCCATATATTTGGATTATAAAGAATGTTGTGTTTTGCCGAAGATAGTTATTGAAAGTTTTAAGAAAAATTATCCTACATTATTGCTTATCTATATCGTCTACTTTCCAGATAAATTTAGATTTCCTCAACATTCAGAAAGTAGTGCTTTCCTTTGAAACTGTACGCCAAACTGGTACAAAGAGAGCAAATATTCCTAAATCCACATGATAAATTTTATTTAGATTTTCTAAACATCAAAATTAGATGTGACAAGTATACACATTATACAAAGCAAACATATGAACAAATTAATTTGACCCATCAGAATTAGAAAGGTAAAAAGCATACAGCGGAAGTTCATAGGTAGTTTTGTTACTGGAGGTTAAGGCATTAAGAGATATGTGTCCCTGAATGCTAGGGCAGCAGGAAAACAAGTATGTCGGAAAATGAATCATCTATTAGAATTTTATTATCATTTGAATCTATTAGGATGAGTGAATAGCTCACTAATGCCTATGTAGTCTTCAATAATAAGAGCAATTTTCTTAGTCACTTCATTATCCCTTGAATCTTACAAATAAAGATTTTAAAAATCTCAGATCTATAATACAGTAAACCCTATTTAAGACATAAAAATCATAGTACCACATGATTTTGGTCTTCTGCGGAGAGCATCATCCCAGAGAAATAGTATTCAAAACTAATGTTTGTTTACATTATCATAAATACTAGTCATTTACACAGGTACTTTTTACTATGACTTTCATGGTTTCAATCTCAAGCAATTCATACCACTTATATGACTGACTGATTCTGAATATATAATAGTTATATGACTGATTTTGAATATACAACACTTATATGACTGATTCTGAATATATAAAACACTTGTATGACTGATTCTGAATATTGATTTAATACTACTAGATTGGTACAGCTTCTAAAATTACTGACCGACAATATACTTTTGGTGAAATGTCCCAGTAAATACAAATAATATTCAGTCATAACATAAGATGAAACAATTCTTTGCATTTAGTAGCAATATAAAGATGTAGATAACATATTCAAGGTGTTATTAATGCAATGACATGAGTTCAAGTAGTTTTTATATCACTGAAATATGTTTAAAATAAAACACATTAAGACAATTTAGCAATACAATGTCCAAGGTCTAGAATCATTGGGACTTCAGCAATTCTAGAAATTTCTAGATTTTAAATCATCAGTTTAAAATCTAGCAAGATGACATGTAGAAGTTATTAAAAAAATTCCTCATTCATATTTAAGGAAATGTTATTTGGTATAAAGATTTTTTCCTGAATCACTCCTAAGTGGAAAAAAAAAAAAAAAAAAAAAATGTGAGTGAAAGCTGAAATGATGATATTCTCTAGATTCACTATTCAATTAACTGACTGATGATTAAGGTATTGTCATCATACTGTAAGACTTCAGTTGCATCATCTTCATTTAACATTTCTTCTTATATTCCATCAATCGGAAAATTTCTCTTTTACTTGTGATATCCAAAAACCTCCAGATTCGTGGCTTGCTTTATTTTCAGGAAATTTGGCATTAAAATATGCCAAGCATTTTAAAAAATATCTGCAAGATCTGGCAACATGCCATATTTCAGATTTTATATTCAAATATTTCTTGGATTGTTGTATAGTCTTGCTTACACATCAGATTCTAAAAAGTTACTTTATCTGTATTCCAGTTTGTACAAAATTCAATATCTACTACTGATGATGAATTTACAGTTTCAGGAAATGAGTAAAATGAAGACATTATCACTTCCTAAAACTAAAGTTTTGATAAGATTAATTATAATAGACAGAACAAAATAATAAGCTACTTCATATCAGAAAGCTATAGGAAGAGCACATTTTGCTAACTTAAGTTCTATGAATAGAATTCTTTTCTCCTTTCCTTCCCTGCATATCAATAAAAGAAACAAGGGAAGGGCAACATCGCACTTGAAATAATTAAGTCTTGAGGCTTCAATTATTGTTCAAGTCAAATAATGTTAACTCATTCATAGCCACTTAAGGGATGAAAGTGTGTCATATTAATGACAATACATTGATTGGTAATGGTGTGATTTCCTTGCAGGTGTTTGATAGTGACACAGAGGAATCTCAGTTAGTTGGAACAGAACTTGCTTTTATGGCACATTTATTTTTTTGAGTATAATAGTGTCTAGTTAACACTTAGTTAATAAGGGAAAAAAAAATGCTAGTGGTCTGGAAATCAGATCATTCTGCATATCAGACATTCAAATTTCAGACTTTATACTGTATTATCTACAATAATCCAACAATTTATAATGACTTATACCAGGTTCAATTTTATTAACTTTAAAGGCATTTTTCATAATAAACAGATACATAACTATTCCCAGTTTAAATATTTCATACTTTCTGATTATCTTCACCCTCACCATAAGGCCACGAAAAGTACTGATGAGGCAATGCACTATCTCACCAAAAAGCATGTGTGCCAATGCAGGTAGCACATGGCGATTTGCTCTTTTGGAATTTAATTTTTCTGATTAGTACTTCTTGTTGCATTGAGTACATTTGTTTTTGTCATGGAATTTTTAGTGGAACTGTGGTGTTTGTCTTCTTTTATTTTGATTACTTAGTGTGCAATGCCCAAGTGGAGCATGATGCTGACTCTGCAATTCTTTTGATTTTTTTAAAACAAAAACAGATCCCAAACATCCATTTTGTATTTTTTTACTCTTGTTTAAAAACATCACAATACATTAAACTGTATAAGTTATGTTTATTAATTTCAATGTTATTTTGTATAGAATTACAGTAAAATAAATTTCATATCCAACAAGTGGGTAGTTGAATATCCAGCTTAAATTCATCCCAATATTTAGTATCTAGACAATCTGCTGTCTGTTCTATCAGTAGTCATTTAATGTAACATAACGAGGAAATTTAATGTAAACATAACGAGAAAAAGTTTTCATGAGACTAATAGCAAAAAAGAAGTGTAATCTAGTTTGCTTATGTCATTAACATGCTAAGAAATCTTATCTCTGGAAGAAATTCTTTCACAATAACTGCTTTTATAACAAAAGGAAAGGGCTCATGTTCTTCATTAAATTATTGCCTTTTCAGCTTACTTTGCTGTTTGGAAGCTGTCCCAGACAGTATAGAAGTTAGCTGCACCAGACACAGATATTTGAAGTACTGACCTTGTGGCATACAAGCATTTAAAATCCATTGAAATGAAACTCTGATGGTAGAAAATCACAAAGAAGACATGGTTCTTGGAAGAAGATGTAATTTCAATCAACAAAAGAATACAGCTTAAGCTGTATTTTTTTACTTTCATGTAATTTGCCAATTTGAACAATTTATCCAGTTCAGTCTGGGTAAGGTTTATGAGTGAATAAACAACGGAATGTTGCCAGATTATCCTTAAAAAATGAGTTAATTAAATGTACAAAATTTGCTCTCCCGGTACTTTTCCATTAAAATCATATTTGACATTTTTTGGTTTTGATATACTTCTATAGCATTAGGTGTCACCAGTTTGGTTTAACTTCTTCCCTGGCAATAAGCAACTGTCTTTATAAACATTGTTCCTATAATCATGTTTTTGAAATAATCAGTATTTCCACAGTTATGGATTTCATCATTTGTCATATGCCAAGAGATAAACAAGCCGCTATCCATTTTTTTCAAAAAGAAAAAAAAAAAAAAGATATATTCTTTACAAAGAAAGATTGTGTTAAAATAACCCCATTATGAAATTAAAATGTGACAGAAAGCCAGGATGTCTATGCAGAATTGATTTTTGCAAGTATAAAAACAGACATCCAAACAGAAACATGGATTGCTTTATCATGTATTACTTTTGTTACTGTGATTCATTTATATATGGTATCAGGAATTAATGTCTATTAAGTTTTGCAAACCAAAACTTGCTTCAAATGAATTACAATATATTGATTCATTGGAATACTTACATGACAGCAGTATATGCCAGTTTTTTATTATCTCATCCTAATGCTGAAAATTAAAGTACTATTCGGTTTCGAGGGCCGTAAAAAAAATTGCAGCAAAAATGTATGCGCAAAAGCGCCAAATTTAGCAAACACGTCCATTTAACAGCGTGCCAAATCTAACGTATGTGCTGATTTCAGATGGTGTAAGTTTATATAGTTCTATAGTTCCTAAGACGCCATTGAAATACTAGTTTAATTTTTAAATCCATTTTTGATTTTAAATCCTTTTTTGATATCCTATGGATTTAACAATTTGGGGAATTGCCCATGACGAAAAGTCGGCAATAGAATTTTGGGTAAAGTGCAGAATCACCCACTGTTGACGCATTTTTAAGAATTGCACATACTTGGTATCCATGTGCACATCGACCTATTTTCAC